TCCCAGCTACTCAGGAGGCTGAGGCAGGAGAATGGCATGAACCCGGGAGGCAGAGCTTGCAGTGAGCCGAGATGGCGCCACTGCACTCCAGCCTGGGCGACAGAGCGAGACTCCGTCTCAAAAAGAAAAGAAAAAAAATAATAATAAATAAAATTAAAAAAATAATGACAAGACCTGCCAGCACAGGGCAGACTTCCAGCATGGCGGTCACCCCATCATAGTTGGGAGCCCCTGCCCCCTTCTGATGGGCGTGGGCCCCCTGAGTCTCCTGGGGAGGCCCCACTTTCCCTTCATTATTTTTCTTACTCCCAATTCCTAGACAGGGTCCCCCAGCCCCTGTAAGCATTTGCTTTTTTTTTTCTTCTTTTGAGGCGGAGTCTTACTTTGTCACCCAGGCTGGAGTGCAGTGACGCGATCTCAGGTCACCACAACCTGCACCTCCTGGGTTCAAGTGATTCTCCTGCCTCAGCCTCCCAAGTAGCTGGGATTACAGGCGCCCGCCACCACGCCCGGCTAATATTTAGTAAGGACAGGGTTTCACTATGTTGGCCAGGCTGGTCTCCAACTCCTAACCTCTAGTGATTTGCCTGCCTCTGTCTCCCAAAGTGCTGGGAGTACAGGCGTGAGCCACCGCGCGGGCCCAGCATTTGCACTTCAACCCAAGTTAAAGGAATCTCTTAGAAGCACAGACATCCTTTTGTAAAAGAAGAAACGCTATCTCCTTTCCTTCTATACAGAGTAGGAGTTGCTCTAGCTACATTTGCTACAAATCTAGCACCTTTCTAGAAACTGTAGCCCTGCCCAGGAGGGAAACAGATGCAATAAGGCAATCTACGAATTTTCCAGAACAACACCGCCCTCTGCAGATGCCACTTGTGCCTTTTCCAGTAGGAACAAACCAACCAGGCCCCTGGCCAGAGTTCCAGGGCTGCCTTTCCTCCTCTGTCCCCCATCGTAAGTGGATAAGTTATTCTTGGTGCCTAGCCTGGTCTCACCTTCTCCGAGGAAGCTTTCTGCCCTGTCTCAGCCACAGGATGCCCCTCCGCTGAGTCCCGATAGAACTTCTTGGAGTTTTGAGTCTTCATCCGTTGTGTATGAATTTTCCCGGTCATCTGAAGCCACATTTCCTCTTTCCCAGAGCCTGGCCTCTTGCCCATCTCCCTGCTGTCAACGGCTTCCTTCCATCCTTCAGCTCTCATCAGTTATGAGATTCCTCCCTTCTGGGTACCTTCTTTCTTCTTCTTCTTCTTCTTCTTCTTCTTTTGAGATGGAGTCTTGTTCTGTGACCCAGACTGGAGTGCAGTGGCGTGATCTTAGCTCAGTGCAATCTCTGCCTCCTGGGTTCAAGCAGTTCTCCTGCCCCAGCCTCCCAAGTAGCTGGAATTACAGGCATACAGGCATGCGCCACCACGCCCGGCTTGTATTTTTAGTAAAGACAGGGTTTCACCATGTTGACAGGCTAGTCTTGACTCCTAACCTCAAGTAATCTGCCCGCCTTGGCCTCCCAAAGTGCTGGGATTACAGGCATGCACTACCACACCCAGCTAATTTTTGTATTTTTAGTAGAGATGGAGTTTTACTATGTTGGCCAGGCTGGTCTCAAACTCCTGACCTCAGGTGATCTGTCCTCCTCAGACTCCCAAAGTGCTGGGATTACAGGCATGAGCCACCATGCCCGGCCAGAGACACCTTCTTTTTGGTCATTTTGCTAAGTCCAGTCCATTCTTCAAGGCTTAGCACATTGTCACCTCTTCCTTGAAGCCTTTCTTGATTGATACAGGCCACTGTGGGCTCCTCCACACTCCTGCAGTGCTTAGGATGGAGGTGGGAGATCAGCTAGGAATGCTTTGTTGACAGTGATGTCACATCCATCAAACAGCAGATTAAACTAGTAGAGATTTCCTTTTCTTACATAACAAGAAATCTGGAGGTAGCCGTGACTGGCAGTTGGTTCAGGAGCTTAAGATCTCAGTGCCAACACTTTAGGAGTGCTCCTTGCCTCATGGTTGCAAGGTGGCTGCTGAAGGTCCAGCCATCACGTCATACATCATAGCAGGAAGGAAGAGGAAAGGTAAGGGAGACATGCCAGCAGATTTCCTCTGTTCTCTACCTGTGGCCACCTAGTAAGGGAGTTTTCCCCTCTGTAGTAGTTGCAGGCAAGGGAAAAGGCTGGGGCACAGGGGTGTGTGTGCTCCTGCCTGTGCCCATGGCAGGCATTACCAGTCAATCACTGCACTATTTCTTGCAGACCCCAAATGTGGCTGCAGAACCATTCTCATCATAGTACTCCAGGTAGCTCCTGTCAGTTGATTAAGAGGTGACATGGGGCCGGGCGCGGTGGCTCAAGCCTGTAATCCCAGCACTTTGGGAGGCCGAGGCGGGCGGATCACGAGGTCAGGAGATCGAGACCATCCTGGCTA